TCACCCATCTATTTATTCAATCATCTATCAAACAAATATTACTGTAATTCATTGATCTACTCAATTTTTATATCTTTTTGTATAGTTTGTGTTGAACTCTCCACTGATCTCGTGTATCAGTCAGTACCAAGAGCTAAGTCAGAGCAGAGACATCCGGCCAGGGTATCCCGCGCATCGCCGGAGGCATGTAAATTCCACCCAGAGTAGGAAGAGGATCGCTCAGCAAATTTGCTTGATAATCCTGCACTAATATGAATGAATGCATGACTGAGAAATAATTAATAAGTAAAATATAGGATTTCGCTGTATGCGTAGTTCAGTTCCGTAAATAATGCTGAAAGAGAAACTGTAGATACTGAACTCGAGATCGTATAAACGTTCGTTTTCCAGGTCATTACATCATGTTTTACTCAGTACATTTTAAATTCATCTTATAAAAAACGGATGCCAATTCATGCATTACGGGCATGATGTTTGTTTAAATAAACACATGCATATGCACACGATAAAATATTTGATCAAAGTGATTATTATAATTGCAAAAAGATCTACTTAACATGAACAAGTTACCCCGAATAAGGAACGTTTTCTATAAGAATGAAGAAAAACTTTTTACCATAGACTTACCTAATAATATACTGTCCATTGCAGTGTTAGGGGCATCTATCTGTCTATGTATATATCTGTCTGTCAGTCCATCTATATCTTCATCTATCTGTCTATCTATCTATCTATCTGCCTATCTATCTATCTATATATATATCTGTAAATCTCTCTTTATCTATCTAGATAATCAGAAATGCACTGATACTAAACTCTGGCCGATACTGATACCGATATTTTTCATTTTCATTTGATTTCATCGATATCATTTAACCGTCGTCTTCTAAAGTCAACGAATTTTAGTGTACTGATTATTATTTTTTTTTTTGTAACAGATACGATTATCAAATCGGAACTTCATAACTGGTTGATAATGAATTTGGATGGATATCTGTGACTTCCATTTCTGTAACTGGTAATTATTAAAGCATATCTTCATAATATCAGTAATAGCAGCCAGGAATAACCATTGCAATTATAAACATTACAAATTGGCACGTAACTATTTTCTTCTTTCTTACAGTAGGAAACTGCCACAGAACACGCTTCGAACCAGAATTTGAATAGTAGTTTGAAGAGTAAATGCGTATGTGCCAGGACCCACTTAATCCTTATACACATATTTTTTTGTTCGTTATCCATGATTTTTTCAGGCCTAGACAACTGAAATGATCTTTTAAGACTTTTTCTGGCCAGAGCTGCAGCTGGAGTTACCCTTTGGATATTAACAGTATTCGAACTCCATTATATCTCAGTACAAACATATCGGTCAGTTTTACCAATACCGACACCGAGGACATCGGTCGGTACTAACGATTTGTCCATTCCTTATTCAGACACACACACACACACACACACACACACACACACACACACACACACACACACACACACACACACACACACACACATATATATATATATATATATATATATATATAATATATATAATATATATATGTGTGTGGTGTGTGTGTGTGTGTGTGTGTGTGTGTGTGTGTGTGTGTGTGTGTGTGTGTGTGTGTGCATGTTATATATACACACACACATACACACACACACACACGCACGCACGCACGCAACGCACGCACCACACACACACACACACACACACACACACACACACACACACACACACACACACACACACACACACACACACACACACACACACACACAACACACACACACACACACACACACACACACACACACACACACACACACACACACACACACACACACACACACACACACATATATATATATAATATATATATATATATATATACATATATATACATATATATATATATATATACATATATATATATATACATATATATATATATATATATATATATATATATATATATATATATATATATATATATATATATATATATATATATATACATACACATGTAAATGTATACCTATACATTTTGTATTTATACACACACGTACACACACACACACACACACACACACACACACACACACACACACACACACACACACACACACACACATATATATATATATATATATATATAGACATATAGATATATATATATATTCATTATAAACTAGAGAGGTTGGGCGTAGCGCTGCCATCAGATGTGAACGAGAGAGGGTAGCCTTAGTCCAGGCGAATGAAAGGGTCTTGGCCTGTGGTTTTATCATGAATGGTCTATGGTGTAAGACTCCAAGAGAGACCTCCCTGAGTGCTGAGGGCGAAGTGGTGACGAGCAGACCTGTGTCTTCGTCTGCCTGCCGTCTCTCTCTCTCTCTCTCTCTCTCTCTCTCTCTCTCTCTCTCTCTCTCTCTCTCCTCTCTCTCTCTCTCTCTCTCTCTCTCTCTCTCTTTCTCTGAGTCCCCCGATGAAAATAAGACA